GCACGCATATATATATATATATATATAATATATATGTATATATATATATATATATATATATATATATATATATATAAATATATATATATATATATATATATATATATATATATACATATATATATAAATGTATGTATATATATGTATATCTATATATCTATTTTTATATTCATCTATCTATATACCTATTTTCATAATCATCTATCTATAAACCTATTCCATGTCAAGCCTGAATATATCGACTCAATTCCTGGCCTCTATTTTGCACAGATTGGGCACGGTAAGGGTGAAGGTATCGAGTCCTTCAGTATGTCGAATATCAACGGAGATGATGACAAGCATCTGCTGGTATTCCATGCCATTGGAATGTATCTGTTTACGTTTGGTGTATTCTACGCCACCAGGCAGACCTACATATGGTTTGTCAGCATGCGACAGGTGTGTTGCTGTGCGGCGTGGGTGATAGTATGCATAGACGTGTATCTTATTTTATTTGCCTACCCACTCTTGCACACGGTGGTGTGAAGTTTGTGGCATATGGCATACGCGTGGTATAGGTGAATCGAATATTTAGCATCCATACGAGCATGGCGAAGCTCATTTCTCAAGCGTGTGGCACTTGTATTGCGCCTGTCTGTCAATGTCCATAATTGCAACTTCGTGCTCCTCTCTTTTATCTGTGCAGTTGTCTGATTCCCATCAAACACCGCAGAACGTTCACGTGGGACAGTTCGTGAAAGGCTGTCGATTAAGTTCATACTCTGGGCACTCCCCCCTTAACGCATGCTAGTGGACTGTCGAGCTCTCTTGCCATACTAAACCGGCCGTGAAGGACTTGTGTGCATGACAAGCGCTGCATGCGAATTACGTGACACCTGACGTACAGTAGCGTGGTTGCACGTCACGCCCCATAGATTGACCGTTCTTTATTAATTGTCTACTACAGCGATTCCTGCGGGGGACTGAGCCTAAGATGTACAGTGTGATGGTGCGCAATCTGCCCAAGCACCTGCAAACCAGTCAGGCCTTGGCCGCTGCGATGGACGACATTGCTCCAGGGTAGGTGGTACACACAGCACGAGCAGTCGTGCTGAATACAACCCGCGCCTATCACGCTCGCGAGTCGTATGTGTACGTCAGAGCCCCATCTGTAGCTGTGCTAAAATGGTCCTTTTATCAGTCAGCCATGGGGTACAGGCATGTCTTAGGCTGGGCACGTGTGCTATCACAGTCTCGTACATGCTGTGCGAATATAAGAGCCCCCTCGTCGTCGTTCACGTTGTTTGATCTCACAGCGGCGCAACGCGTTCTGTAGTCATCTTCTCTGTTCAGCTTCCTTTTTATAAGAACATAGCACGCACCATGACTCGTCCCTACTTGTTCATGGATAGTTCGGAATGCTCTCTCCCACTCAGTCCGAGGTTTGGTGCAAGGCGCATGAACCCAATCTCCTCCTGAACATGTACCAGAGGTGTACATTAAACAGCCACGGGTGCCTCCAACAGACGCTTATTGATAGTTTGTTTTTCACCTCTACGGCTTTCGTACAGTGAGGTTATATCGGCCCATGTCAATATCGGGGACATATTCGAGCTGGAAAAATTGTGCGAAGACAGACTAGCGGCACTGCTCAAGCTGGAGAAGGTGAGTGTAGTGATGAAATAGGTAGCTAGAGAAGGTGAGTGTAGTTGTGAAC